CCAAGGAGGTTTTTAGTGCAGAAGCACTCTTTGTGATTTGTGACCTGTCAGGGAATTTTTTTCCATAGCAACGAAGGTCACCGAGGGTCACGGTTTGTAGGCCTTTGTGACCGAGTCTAATACAGTCACCTCAGGTACAGAACTCCCGGCCAATGTTTAATGTTTCTGTTTACAAGGAGCAGCCAATCAGTAGAAAGCTTGCACAAAGGAGGAGGAGCTAAAACGACTTGTTGCAGACAGGTCGAACTAACAGCATGATTATTATGAAGGATTATTTTGAGCTGTAAGTTATGCAAAGTTCCTCTAGCAGAATTCTAGAATTAAAAAACATATGAAGTTGACATCATCATAAAGTGTCACCTTTAATGTTCTGTTTGTCTTAAAAATAAAAAAAGTAAAATTGAAAACGGTACAGCTTTAATAAACTTGCTATTCTGTGACACCTCTCTGATTGTCAGAAATATAACATTCTCTTTGTTTATTTTAGGAAAATGTTAATTTGTGAGGACAGCCGGTTTCAGATGAACAACCTTGTTACTCCCGGCATCCTGTTGAAGCAGCAAGCTGCACCGTGTTCATGTTGTATAAAAAAAAAAAAAGTCTATCTGAAAACATGGCGTCTCTTCCATTTTAATCCATTTTAGGCAAATAAAGAATCTCCAGCTTTGCTTTTTATTTTAAAGGAATATATATGTATGTCTTTCATGAATGGTGCATCATATTTTTCTACTCAATATGAATCAGTAGTCAGCCTGGCTTTGCATGAAGACATGAAGGAAAGTTGGTCTTTCCCTGTTTAAAGGAAACTAAATCTGCCTACAAGTAAGGCTAAAGCTCTCTGATTAACACCTTACAGCTCATTAATCCGCACAAAAACACCTAATTGGATAACATAACAGGCTGAGATCACAGCCAGAAGGCCGTGGTGTTTCTTGGCTAAAACGCTGTGCCCTCCTGGTGTTTGAGCCAGGCAGCTTCATGGTGAAATCATTGTGCTCAGCCAAGAAATAATCAGGCACAAACCTGCAAACTGCTTTTTTACACAGTTGTTATCCAGATTAAAAAGAGATGTAAGGTGTTAATTAGAGACTTTAGAGGTGCTGCTGGATGGATTTTGTAACCTCTGGACTCACAGTGGCTTCATTTTTACTCGTTTGATTCAGCACAGCAACGATTTTGTTTCCATTTCCCCCGTCTGCTTTGTCTGCAGAAAAACGAGATGTCCAACGAGCTGGTGGTGGAGGGCGAGAACTCGGCCCCCATGAGCGAGGTGTGCTCCAGGAATCAGATGGATGCCATCGAGGAGCTCCAGGAGGAGGACGAGGAGGAACAGGAGTGAGATCCGAGGGAGGAGGAAGGTAAAGCCGAGCTCAATGTGGGACATACGGTGCTGGAGGAGAGGAGAGAGGGGACCCCCGAGTATGGTTTTGGTTTCAGAGGTCCCCTCGACAGAACTGAGGTCTTCTTCTTCACGTCGACCACCTCACCATTAATGCGCACACTGTAAAGAAAGCCATGCACCTCCACGTGTTCATCCATCAATGTAAATACCGTTAGCGTCTTCCGATCTTCAGTACTCATAATCTGCGAGGCGTAATAATCATTTTCATGTGTTGGTAAACAAGGGAAATCGACACGGGAGAGCTCTTCCTCCTCAGCAGCGAGAATGGAAGCGTCTGTCGAGTGGTGGTGGAGTTGCCAAAAGAGTTCTTTATGTTCTTTAATCGACGATTAAGCAGCAAGGCCTTGCTTGGATTCAGATATAGACATACTGTGGGACTTGTTGGGTTGTGCAATCGTATTTTCCATACAACGGTGTACAGATTATTGTTGTTTTATATAGGTAATGCATCGTGTATATTTAATTGCCCAGGGGGGTCAGGAATCCCTCGTTATATATCACTGCGTGTTTCAAAACGAACCAAAACGCCAAAAAAATAGTTATGATTGTTCTCTTTCCATGCAGTCTGGGAGTCAACTTTTGTTTTGCCCAGCATTTTCCTGGTGGTATTCAGGCTGTCATATGTACTGTATATACTGTAAAGGCATTCTTATTTGGCAAATAAATTGCTTTATTAATAATCTTCATGCTTACCTGGAACTGGCTTTACCTTCTTGTTTCTTTGAGTCTAACAGATACCACTGCAAAATCATGTTTATTTTTCTCCCCCTGAAGTGGATCTGTCATACATTTCTGTCATGTACACAGTGGTGGGTGCTCACAGTATCGATACACTGTACTTATTTGAAGCTTGGGCTATGTACAAGTAATCAATGAGGGTTTAATAACTTCAAAAATTATTTTTTTCCTTCTCTTGTGTGTTGCTAAAGTTTAATAAAGGGGGTTTTCATATAAAAGCTACCTTTTTGCCGCTTCCTCGGGAGCAGGGTCGCTCCGCAAGTTTAAATTGACGGTTTTGCACCAGATGCCCCTCCTGATACAACCCCAAGGGGTTTTGTGTCTTCAGCTGGAATCAAACCAGCAGCCTTTCACTTGTCAAATGTGTAAACAAGTCCATGTTATGTAGTCAGAAAATTTGGTTTTGTAAAATATTCCCACTACTCTGCAAGTTTGGAGGGTTTTAATTAAAAATGCCATTTTGGTTGTGAAATAAATTTTAATCTTGTGTTTATTTTTTTAGGAAAGCCAAACAGAGTGCGTGGGAGACTTTGTATGGAAGCTCATTTCTGCCACAGAAAAAATACATTTGAACAATAATTCCCAGGAAAGATTTTGATTCAAATATCTATATTTCGAGATAATTGACCTGAAATTTTAACTTTTCAATGGGATATGTTTTTATTCAGTAGCAGAATAAACTTCAGAGCTCCGTTTTCAGTGACCAGAGTCCAGACGGTGACTCGGTGACAGAGTAAAGTTTCACTCACTAGATTGCCGTCAGTATTTTCAGAGAACAAAAGTTTTCAGCCTTTGTCCCCACATGAACGCCCGCTAACAGAAATATAAAAGCGGTTTCACACAACCAGTGAGTGAAAGTTAAACCTACTGTTCTCTCCCACAATAAGCAGGTAACCATTGTTAAATCTGCATTATACTCCATCAGAGAGCGTGTATGAATGGATCTAAGAAAATGTAATTTATTGGTTACAAGTTTGGTTATGGCAGAATTTTTTTTAGGCCTGTATTGTTTCTGAAAACTAAAGGGAACTGAATTTATAGTGGATTTTGGACTCTTTCAGCTTAGGTTTTTTTTTTAATTCATTATATGACATTTGTGTCAGGGGTGAGAATTAATAAGTTTAAAACATGTATTAAAATACAAACACTGTTTTCATAAATCTGTGCAAGTCTCATCGTGCGGGCTCTGACAAATTTGACCAATCTTGCAAAACTTTTGTGATTACAAACTAATGTTTTTGTTCTTTTCCACATCTGAATTTGGTATTAACAAAATAAAAACGCTGGCAAGCAAAGGAAGCAGTGCTCACAAGCACCAGGTTCAGATTTCAGAGGTCAGGCGAGGGGCAACCAATCAGAAGAAAGTGGGCTTTTACTCTTTTCTGCCATAAAGACATCTGACAACCTCCCCCAGTACCCTAGATGGCCAGTATTGACAATTCAATTTATATCTACAAAGATGTGGCTTTGTAGTTAAGAAGAGTAATTTCCAGGTTTTTGCAAGGGTATAGACCTCTGATGCGTAGCCAGTCATTTTGTTCTGGAAGCAGGTCAGACACCAGTTCAGGAAAGAGAAACAAGGGTGACCCCGAGAAGGTATCCGAGGGTGAAGAGTTAAAATATGGAAGCCTTAAAGAGCTGGCCTGTTTTGCACAAGGATGAGCTGCATAAAGACCCAGTTTAAGATGCTTTTAAACTCATCCTCATCCTGTTTAACACAACTTTATTCTAATTGGCTGCCCCTTGCAAACTTGTGGGTGGAGCTTGTGAGATGACCATATTAGAGATATCCTCTCCCTCACTGACATCATGCAGAGCCAAGATTAGAAAAAAGAAAACTCGTAAATGGGATGAAAACGATTACTTGTGCATAAGCCGAGCACACTGGCCCTATTTTAAATGAGCATCCACTATTGTAATAGTATACATAAGACAAAGAGGAAAGATCCACTTTAAAAACGTTTTTACACCGTTTTATTTTGTCTACAGACCTCAATCCAGAACTTTACCCCCACCCCCCCCAAAAAAATCATTTTATTTTAATGCTGTCCAAAACTTTTGACAGTGCAAGAACATTCCTGCAAATGGCATAACATTTTCTTTTCTTTAATCACCTTTACCTGCTCTGGAATTAAGACATAAATGGCCTCTAATCACCAATATCCAACATTCATTCTTACTGTGCATTATTTCTAAGGCAACACGGAGGACCAAGCGAGCCTTTTCTGAGTCCAGCGGCTGGTGGTTGGGTCTGTTGCCAGTGTTAGCAGCAACATTGGCACATTTCTTCCCTTCAGAACAGCTTGGTTAAAAGGCAGCATGTTACACATTGAGTTTAACACACACATACACACAAAGTCAAACACACATGCACACACAGACTGCCACAAATCACACCTCTGACACAGAGGATGTGAGTAATCTTCTGATCGTCATCTGGTGTTGAACCTGATAAATTGTCCAACCCTTCATTGACTAATTCAGCTGCTTCACTTAATGAATTTAGACGGTCACACTTGTTTTAAAAAACAAAACAATAAATTAACACTCAAAGTGCCCAACATCCAGTGTAAATACCATCACCTAAAGTTTTTGGCGCTGTTGGCAGCTTCACTCAAAATTTTACATTTAAAAAACAAAACAAAAAAAGTCTTCTGAGAAAATTTGGGCTTTTTTTCCTTCCAAAATGACACCCTGCAAAGGAATCTGCGTCTATCTGAGATAATCACAGGATATCCGATATGTACACATATCCAAATAGAAAACTGTGTATACAGTACAGTGTGTACAAGAACATGTAAACCAAATCTTGTACGTGGTCTTGAATCAGCATTTTGTTGTGTTGTTTTTTTTTTTGTTGTTTTTTTTAAAGGAATAGGTCAAGATTTTTGGGACGTGTGCTTATTTGCTGAGTTAGATATGTGAAGCAGGAGGCAGTCAGCTTAGCTTAGCATAAGGACTGGAAGCGGGGGACAGCTAGCCGTTCTCTGCCAAAAACATAAACTGTATACAGAAGATGGACACAGTCACTGTGACGTTAGGTTTGCTTAATGGCCTTAAGCACTTTGGTTTTTGGGGCCAGATGTGTCATCATGTCAGCTAATGCTCCCAAGGTTATCCAGAAAGCTCCACATACAGACTGTATGGGTGCAGTGCATAGACGGATACGCTCCGTAATCAGTGCGACATTCAGGCAGTAACTCACTACAACTGCAGCAAAAACTTATTGAATGGGCCCTACTACACAGCAGACCATAATATTTGTCAAACAGTACCAGTTGACTAGTTATTTAAATATTGCCTCCCCGCTAGTCAGCTGCTGAAATAGCGGGTTAAACAAGCAGCTAAAGCCAGGTTAACCACATTCTGCACCAGGGTGTGCTTGCATGAATGAAAAAAGGACCTTTTCATTAACACGGAATGTGTTTGCAGAATGAAAAAGGAGATTTTCATCTGTCCGGCCCACTTAAAATGAGTTTGACATCCCTGATTTAAGGTCTGCTCAATTCTAAAGGTTTTCTGAGTGATTTTTTTACCTTTTAGAAATGATGACTAGCCAGGAACATCTCTAATAAAAGGCCCAAAACAAAAATCATCAGTCTCTTGTGGAGGTCTGCAGGTTTCAGGTTACCACTTATTCCAAAGGCAAGAACATCCTCCCACCAGCACCTTTCCTTCAGAAGTATCTTAATTTAAGCCAACTAGCGATCACAACAGAAGAGTTTGTCTTGTTTCTCTTTCCTGCTAATATTTAAACAGCTTTTTTATGATGGAGATTAAAACTGAGACCAGGCTCTTAATGTGCATTCACCTCTACTTCTGGTGGAGTGTGTGCACAGTGATAAAGATCGCTCATAATTTAAAGCAACAGATCTGTGATCCCTTTTTCATCTAACAGTCCAGACAGATGTGACCCATGCTCGGCACAGCTGCAGCAGCTGATTCGTGCTGATGCATGTGTGTCTGTCTAACCTGTTCTGCTCTCCTCAACAGCATGGGTGTGTTTTTGCTGGCTTAGTCTCTGTTACGTGAAATTTACATGTAAATTTAACAAAAGCCTGGCTTAAAATTTCTGAAGCCAATTATATAACCTGTTACTGATTTAGAAAGAGGATAAAATCATTAATTACCACAAAAGTCAATAGATAATAAAGGAAATGTAGAAAAGGTTAGCAAGGCGCCTCTGTCCAGAGAAGAAGAAAATCATAATGTGTCATTGATTTCTGTGTGGATTAAAGTAAAAAACAAACAAACAAGTAAAAGTGCTGGTGGTTGTATGTTTGTACCGTTTACTTCCATTCTTTGCACTAAGCTAAGCAAACTTACTGCTGGCTGTCAATTAATAAGCACACTTCCCAAAACTATACCTTTAATTGATAAATCTTGATCAACCTGAGGGGTGTTTGTATGGCAGGAGGTTTTTCTGCAGTGGCAATCAGCTGGAGGGGAGCTCCTTTTGTGTTTCTGCAGCTTCTACAACGGGCACATTGTAGTGGCGATCATCCTCTGTGACGAGGCACACAGATTCCCAGTCGTCCCTATGGTCGTCCGGGTAGTAGGTGACAAACTCCTCTGTGTCTGCCTTGTACAGTCTGTAAACTTGAATGGTACACTGCAGGGCGTAGCCCAGCAGGAACATCTCCACCTGCCCAAGAGAGAAAACGCAAAGTGAGGGGGGAGGGGATAATTGCACAGTTACAGAGGAACTCCAGCACACTTCTCAAACAGCTCCATGTTTGATCAGCTGCTTCAGCACAAAACATTTACGGGTGGAGTCTCTCTTTAGAAGCAGAGCTTGTAAAATCTGTTGTTCAAAAAGTGAAAATAACAATTAAAACGCTCAGCAGTTGAAAACCACCTCCGCCCTGGGGCCAATGGTGCAACGCCACCATCACTCAAAACAAGCGGGGGGAAAAAAACGGAGCAAGCGCCGGCATGTTTTACTATTCGGCTCTCACATGACAAAAATGTTAACACACCCACCTCGTGATGTTCAGCCCGAACTGTTGTTTTTGTTACTGAGTGCGACAGATGTTTACTCAGTGGGAAGAAAATTCCCAGCAACATTTTACCATAAAGTTGTCAAAAACAACAGAGACGCTTCCCACCTGCTCCAGACCTGCGGTCAGGCCCACGTGGCTGAGGTGGTTGGAGAGGAAAGAGCGTGGACAGTCGGAGGAGTCCCGCGCGAACAGCAGCCAGCAGAAGAGGGGGACGTCTTCACCGCCCTGCATGCAGCTGTGCAGCTCTGCCGCTCTGCTCAGCATCAGCAGCTTGAGAGCCTCCAGCAGACCAAGCTCCTCTTCTCCACCCTGAAACACTCGCTCACAGAGCTGCTGACGCTCAGCGTCGGTGGCACAGTCCACCGCTGCCTGCCACTGGAGACAAATAAAGTGTATCAGTCACTGAAGAGGTCTAAAACAGCTGGCTATACAGGAGAATTTACTGCTTTTTTCAGACATAATTTCAGGTTATGGAACTTAAAGCTCAGATAATGAGGGCAGGTTGTTGGTAGAGATGGCACAATACCACTTTTTTATGTCCGATACCGATATCATAAATTTGGATATCTGCCGATACGATATGAATCCGATATAGTGTAATCAATAAAACTGTTTTTTAATATCTTGCTGCATTTTGTATAAGTTCATACTCACATTAAAAAAAACAAATCAAAAAAACAAAACAAAACACTAAAGCTATGCTGATAAACCTGTATGCAAAAAATACACTGCACCCAAAATATTTCATAGTTCAGCAACACTGAGCTAATAAACTTAAACCCACACCATCCTCCCTATTCTGGTATTTTAAAGAGTACTTAGCGAAATATTAAACAACCCAACTAATAGGGTTGCCAACAAAAAAAATAGGGAACCACCCTCCGCCTCGTGATGCTTAATCGACGTAATAAACTTTAATTTAATGCACGTGTAAAAAAATAAATAAATAAATAAAATGCACAGAAATCAATTATTTTTCTACAATAATTAAATAGATTCAACATCTTTCTTCAACAGAATTGCAGACTGAATAGATGGTTCCCAAAGGAAAAAGTACTATAGCTTACTAGGGTATATTAGACTTAA